AAAGTATATGTGAACTGCTGTATGAAAAGTGAATTTACTCTGTAAATCTTCACCCAAATCCTAATAAAAAAAAAAAAAAAGAACATCTCTGGAGTTAACATTATGGGCTAAGACAGGGTTGGACTATAAGAAATACCTTCTAGGAAGTACTTGGATTTGAGGAATATCGGGAGGAGTAGAAGTAGACTGAGATGTGAAATAGGCATGTGGATGATGATTGGCCAAGATGACTTTCCAGATTAACATGGATGCTCTTGCCTGAAATGAAAGGCGGGGACATAGAAATGACCCCACTCTTGACAAAATAGCAATGGTAGCATTTTGAAAGTTATATCTAGCAGAGAGTGGATTAGAGCAGTAGCTCCATATATGGGATTCTGAAGTCCCTGGGGATGGGGTTTATGAGGATAGAAATGAGGAAATATGAGTTAATTTCAATATTATGCAAAGCATAAGTGAATCATACATCTACTCTCAACAAGGCCTTGTAGGCTTAACAAACCATTGGATTCTTTTCCTTTGTCTGTAATTGCAGTATTGTAAAACTAGCTATCTCATGCTGATGAGAAGCTCTGCTTGACTGCTGATGTTACCATAGGGATTCTGAATGTAATTGGTAGACTCTATGGTGTCACCAACTGGTCACAGCTGACTTGGAGTCAGATCATCCAAAATGTAATTAATTTTAGACTCAGGTATAGGGTGAAAGCACAGTTAAGTAGACTGGAGTCCATGGTGGAATGAGGAGCTCTGATAGTGCAGTAGTTAAAGCATTTGACTACTAACCAAAAGGTTAGTGGTTTGGACATGCCACCCACTCCATGGGAAAAAGATGAGGTAGCCTGCTTACATAAAGATTTATAGCCTTGGACACCCTATGAGCAGTTCATTCTGTCCTATAGGGTTACTATGAGTCAGAATCAACTTGATGGTAGTGGTGTGGTGGGGTGTTTGGGAGCCACTGGGATAGAAGAAGCAGTGTTCTGGGCTTTCTGAACCCAAGCTCTTAAATTCTCTATATTTCACACTTAATTCAAGGATTTTCCATCCTTGAAATAAAATGAAAGCTAGATGATCATTAAATATAGTCAACTGAAACCATGCCCTGAATAATTTCTATGTGGTTCTTCCTTACAGTTTCCTAAGGTTGCCTTAGACTCTCTGTGGGAGCAGGGCTTCTTTGTTTTCCCTCCTCCTCTCTTAGTGAAATAATAGAATATTGAGAACTAAAGTTGAGCTGTAGTACCTGGGTGGTAAAAATGGCTAGTGTACTCAGCTGCTAACCAAAAGGTTAGAAGTTTGAGTTCACCCAGAGGCACCTTGGAAGAAAGTCCTGCTGATCTACTTACAAAAACCCTATGGTCTATTTTGATGCACACTGGGTCACCATGAGTTAGAACTCATGGCAACTGAAATTGGAGGGTCAAGCTCTCTTCTTGGCCTGTAAAAGAAATAGGTTAAATAGAAAGGTTAAAAGAAAGGGCATAACTATAGAGCAGAGCCAAGTGAGCACTGTCTTTAGAGTGAGTCTGGGAAAAACTCACCTTAAATTTAGCTCTCTGCCAGTGGTGTTCCTATAGATTTGGACACTGGACTTCAGTTGGCTCTGCTGTTTAGGCTAGGCTTTTAAATCCCATATCACCACCACTTTTGAGCTGCAGGAGCTCCAGAGAAACCCAAAGTTTGCAACACACAGTATATTAAAAAAAAAAAAAAAAATGATGGCTAAGTTCCCTTTAGTTTGATGAGCCAGCTGAACACTTCATAATGGTTGGCAAAGGATTCTGAAGCGTATCCACTACTTTGCATAAACTTGGGAGGAGGAATTGAGCCCAAGGCAAGAATTGGTATATTTGCTATCTGTCCTTTCAGTTGACTGTTTCAGAGATGTGGTGACAGTGTTTATTTTCTGGATTATTTCAGAAAGGGAAAATGTCTTCACTCTGTGAATGTATGCACATGGGAACAACCTTAGTTCTTGCCATCTCCTTCCTTGCTGGCTTTATGGGTCTCTACTGCATGCCCCTTGCACATCCCCTCTTATCCCAGCCCTTCTTATGTCTTTGCAGGGATTCTGCATGGCCTTCATTCATTCTTTTCCTTTCTCCTTTCCAGAGCCAAGCTATGCGAATTGTCCGTACAGTGGGTCAGGCCTTTGAGGTCTGCCACAAGCTGAGTCTGCAGCACACACAACAGAATGCCGATGGACAGGAAGACGGGGAGAGTGAGAGGAACAGCAACAGTTCAGGGGATCCAGGTAGGTGTTGTTGCTGCCGTGGATGGAGTCAGGTAGACACATTGTGGTCAGAGGATCATTCCAGCTAGCCTCATGCAGTTAATTCATTTAAACATTTTATTTTTTCTATTCTCTTCTAGATTACAAATTTTATTTCAGGATTGTGTGTTACTTTTATATCAGAAAATGTTGTTGTTGTTGTTGTTAAGTGCCGTCGAGTCGTTTCTGACTCATAGCGACCCCATGCACAGCAGAACAAAACACAGCTCTATCCCGCACCAGCCCCACAATCCCTGCTATACTTGAGCTCATCATTGCAGCCACCGTATCAATCCATCTCGTTGAAGGCCTCCCCCACTTTCGTCAACCCTCCACCCTACCAAGCATGACATCCTTCTCCAGGGAATGGTCCCTTCTTACAACATGACCAAAATAGGTGAGACGAAGTCTGGCCATTCTTGCTTCCAAGGAGCATTCTGGCTGCACTTCCTCCAGGACAGATCTGTTAGATCTCTTAGCA